CTGATAGCCTCTTACTTCCTTAGACTAAGTCAGTCCCATCCCTTTCCGCTTCCCCTTCTAAGTTGTTACTGTCAGATCTTTTTTTCTTGTGTTGTTAGTTTGTGGTTAAAATGACAAGATCATATTTATTCTTAGTGTTTCCCTTCCCTTTATCTTTAATGTTGTACTTAAGCATTTGCTAACCTGTTCTGATGGAGAGCTGCAATTTTCTGATTTTGTCTTTCTACTTATCTCCTTGCTCAGGGTTTTGTACCTCCTCTCCTTTTTTTTTTCTCAGGTATGAGGGCCTTCCTGTGCATTTCTTGGGGGGGGGGGTGTCTTGTGGCGATGAACTCCCTTAACTTTTGCTTATCTGGGAAAGTTTTTATTTCTTCATCATATCTGAAGGATGTTTTCACTGGATAGAGTATTCTTGGCTGAAAGTCTTTGCCTTTCAGAATTTTGAATATATCATTCCACTCTTTCCTAGCCTTAAGGTTTCTGCTGAGAAATCTGCTTACAGCATAATAGGGGTTTCTTTGCAGGTTATTTTATTCTGCCTTGCTGCCCTTCATATTTTCTCTTTGTCATTGACTTTTGCAAGCTTCACTACTATATGCCTTGGAGAAGGTGTTTTTATACTGATATGGTTAGGAGACCTATTGGCTTCTTTTGCTTGTATTTCCAGCTCCCTCTCAGGGTTTGAGAAGTTCTCAGCTATTACTTCTTTGAACAAGCTTTCTGCTCCATTCTTCTCTTCTCCCTCTGGGATACCTATAATCCTTACACTGCATTTCCTAATCGAGTCAGATATTTCTTGGAGAGTTGCTTCATTTATTTTTAGTCTTAGTTCTCTCTCCTCCTATGTCTGAAGCTATCTATATTCCTGTCCTCCAGCCTGCTAATTCTGTCCTCCTCATTATCAGCCCGACTGTTCAGGGAGTCCAGATTTTTCTTAATTTCCTCCATTGTGTTTTTCATCTCCAACATTTCTGATTGGTTCTTCTTTATAGTATCAAGCTGTTTTGTGATATACCTCCTGAAGTCGATGAGTTGTCTATTTGTATTCTCTTTTAACACAATGAGTTTTTTTAATGATAGCTGTTTTGAATTCTCTGTCATTTAGGTTATAGATTTCTGTGTCTTTGGGATTGTTTCTGGGTACTTGTCATTTTCCTTCTATTCTGGAGATTTAATATATTTTTTCATACTGCTTGATGGCGTGGATTTGTGCCTCCACATAGAGGTAAGAATTTGGTTCCTGTTTCCACTTACTTCCACTGGCAGGGGAGGAGGTAGCAGCTGTCTAATTTGCACAAACCAGGATCCCTGTCAGCTGTTACTGAGTCTGGGCCCCTCCTTGGGATCGCCATGGCCCTGTCGAGTCTCCTGTAAACTGTGGGAACAATCACATGGGGGCTTTGGGTTGTTGCTGCCTGCTCCCACAGACCTGCCTAGATGCACTTCCCCCTTAGGGACTGCAGTGGTGTTATGGGCTTTTGTGGCAGCTGGGAGCTGGTTCACCCAGACTCGCAGCTCTGCCACGGTCTGGTCCCACTGGATTTCACTTGCCCCCTCTGGGCCACAGCAGAGCTATGGGCAGCTAATGCAGCCAGCGGTTAGCTCGCCCAACCACGCCATTCTGCTCTTAGGTCACCCAGCCTTTGTACATGGTGGGTGGGGCCTCTCCACTAGGGACAAGCAGACACTCTCCCTGGGGCACTGTGGGACTGTGGATTTTCCCCCTGGACCAAGAAGCAATCACATTGGGGCTCCAGATTGTCACTGCCCACTCGTATGGTCCTGCTGGATCTCACTTGCCCCCTTGGGGCTGCAGCAGAGCTATGGGTGTTTAATGCAGCTGGTGGGTAGCTCACCCAGCCGAGCCACTCCAGCCCCAAGGTCATCCAGCCTTTGTGCTTGGTGGGCGGGCCCTCTCCACTAGGGCCAACCAGAGACTCTCCCTGTGGCCACTGTGGGACCATGGATTTTCCCACTGGTCCACAGGGTAATCATGGGGGGCTTAGGGCTGCAGTCACTTGTTTCCACAGTTGTGCTGATGCACATCCACCCTTGGGGCTGCAGTGGTGGTAGAGCGTGTGTCAGCTGGGATAGGGTTGCTCACAGGTACTAGGCTGTCTGGGGGCCACAGAGTTCTCACCATTCTCCACCTCCTCCCAGGGCCAGTCCATCCACCTTCCGATGTATAGCAGCATGGGTCTCAGGCGTCCTGCAGTGCTGTGTGAGTATCCTTCGTTGATCAATGAATGCCCATTTAGTTGTATTTCAAGGGGGAAGAGACACAGAAAACTGCTCACTATGCCATGTTGCTGACGTCACTCCTTTTAGATCCTTTTAATGCTAAGATTTTTTGTCAAATTTGGAAAGTTTTTGCCATTACTTCTTCAAATTTTTTTTCCTGTCCCCTCTTCCCTCTCCTCTGCTTTGACAACTCTCGTTACATGCTTTTTAGGCCAATTAGAGTTCACTAATGCTCTGTTCATATTTTTCCAGTCTTTTTTCTCTCTGCATCTCATTTAGGATATGTACTATTGTTATATCTTCAAGTTCACCAGCCTTTTCTTCTATAGTGTCTAATCCGCTGTCAATCTCACCCAATGTAGTTTCATCTCAGACATTTTTTTCAGCTCTGTAAGTTCAATTTCTTGCTGTTTTTTCCCAAAATCTTTGATGTCTTACTTTACCATGCTCATGTTTTCCTCTACCGTCTTGAAAATATTAAAAATAGCTATAAAAACATTTAATATCCCTGTGTACTAATTCTATCACCTGTTTCATTTCTGGGTCAGTTAAATTTATTGATGTTCCTCCTCATTACAGATTTTAGTTTCTTGCTTCTTTGTATGCCTAGTAATTTTTAAATGGATGCAGACATTGTGAATTTTACTTTGTTGGGTACTACATATTCTTGTATTATTTTAAGTACTCTTGAGCTGTGATGCAGTTAAGTTTCTCAGAAAGAGTGTGATCCTTTTGAGGTTTTCTTTTAAGCTTTGTTAGGCAGGACCAGAGCAGTCTTCATTCTAGGGCTCATTTTCCTCCACTATCGAGGCAAGATCCTTCTGAGAACTCCACCAGCTGTCTCGTGCATTATGAAGTTTTGTTCATTCTGGCTGGTGACAACACAAACTCTTCCCAGCCCTTTCTGAGCTCAGGGATTGTCCCATCTGCTCCTTTCAGGTGTTCCCCCCTCTCCCTGGCCTCAAGTAGTGTCCTCACATGCAATGCATAGCTTCACAGTCGCTGAAGACTTGAGGGCTACCCTTGGCAGCTCTCCAAAGCTCTCTCTCTGGGAGCTCCCTCCCATCTGGTACTCTGCCTTAAGAACTCTAGCCATGGAGCCTCTTGGAACACTCAACTCCATTTCCTCAACCTAGAGAGATGGATGGGGTTTGCTGGGTTTCCCTCTGTGCTGTGGCCTGGAAACTCCCTCCTGGTAAGCTGGGTTCTTGTCATTTGTTTCCCCTCTCAGGCATTACTATTCTGTGCTGCCAGTTGTCCCATGTTTGAAAAAAATACAAAATATTTTTAAAAATACAGATTTTGCACTAATTAAAAAAGACATGTGCACCCTATGTTTACTGTAGCATTATTCATAATAGCCAGGACTTAGAAGCAACCTAAGTGCCCATCAATGGATGAGTAAAGAAGATGTGGTATATATATATAATGGACTACTACTAAGCAATAAAAAAGAAGTCATGAGCCAGCCCTGATGGCCTACTGGTTAAAGTTGGCACTTTCACCGCTTTGGCAGCCTGGGGTCATTTCCTGGTCACAGAGCCACACCACCTGTCAGCTGCCATGCTGTGGTGGTGGTTCACATGGAACAACTAGAAGGACTTACAACTAGGATATATAACCATGCAGTGGGGCTTTGGGGAGGCAAAAAAAAGAGGAAGATTGGCAACAGATGTTAGCTCAGGACGAATCTTTCCTTGCAAAAAAAAAGGAAATCATGCCATTTGCAACAACATGGATGGACTGTGACAGTATTAAGCTAAGCCAAATAGGTCAGATGGAGAAAGACAATTACTGTATGACTTCACTCATATGTGAAAGATAAACAAAAACACACATAGACACAGAAAGCAGACTGGTGTTTACCAGAGGGGAAGGGGATGGACGGGGGGAGAAGGGGTAAAGGGCACATATGTATGGTGACAGAGGGAAAGTAGACTTTTGGTGGTGAACATGATGTAGTCTATACAGAAGTTGAAATATAATGATGTACACCTGAAATTTATATAATGTTATAAACCACTGTGACCAAGAAAAGAAAGTTTTTTTCAGAAAAAAACCATGGATTTTGCATAGTTTTTTAGTTGTTTAAGGCAGGAGGGTAAACCCAGTCCCTATTACTCCATCTGAACATCTTCTTAGTCCTAAGATTTTATAAGAATATGTTTAAGCATTGGTCTAAAACCAATGAGGTCAGATGAACTAGGAGAGTGCACTTGAAAGTGATAAAACTGAATTTCTTCATAAGAGTAATCCAAGGCAACTGGTACAAATTATTGGAGCTTTTTCATAAAGAGGATTTGGGTCTAAGCAAAAGACATATTGTACCTAAATAATTATGCAAACACATAATTACAGAAAATGCAATAAAATTCAACCTAAGTTTGGGTCACTAATTCATGCAAATTCTGCCCATTTGATTCAGGTGTGCACACTGTCAGCATGCCCTGGGCTGCGAGGTGCCTTTCTGAGGATGACGATATTCTATGTGCTCTTTCTGTGTAACTCTGAGCAAAACCAGCATTGAGCACAAGAGACACTGCACTCAGGGTTGATAAATCGGGTACTGGAGGAGTGGGGATGATATCCACAGGTTTCCATCATTCAAATTCATTACATTTAGTACTGTGGTTTTCATTCCTGGCTGTAATGCAGATTTTCCCATGAAGTAAAATGTTACTTACCTGTCAGAATCGGAAAAGTGTAGTGAAGAAAGAATGTATAAAACTAAAAACATTTTTCTAGAACATGGTACATACTTGTCACTGGTAAATACATAGGCAACCACATCCTTCAAAGCTGCAAGTGAAACACCCACTACAAGTGCACCAACACCTGGAAAATACAGAAGAAGCCACAGGAAATGAAAATTCTCCAGAGTTTCATAAGTCCTAGTACTGACTTCTCATGTGATATTTGTGTCGGTGATTTAAGAAATGTAATAATTATGAAAAGAGCAACTAAGGTCAGGTGATTCTGACTCCTTTTTCTAAGGCAGACTCAGAAAAGATATTCAATAAGGTGTCAGTACAATCAGAATCTTCTCTTACTGCTCAGATTCCAGAACATTAAACCTGCCACGGGGAGCCAGCCCAGATGGCCTAGTGGTTAAAGTTCAGCGCATTCCACTTTGGTGGCCTGGGTTTGGTTCTCGGGTGCAGAACCACACCACTCATCTGTCAGTAGCCATGCTGTGGTGGTGGCTCACATGGAAGAACTAGAAGGACTTACAACTAGAATATACAACTATGTACTGGGGCTTTGAGGAGAAAAAAAAACTGCCAGAGGGGGCAGTGGTCCAGGAACATGGAGAACGGGTAACACAGACATCGGTCAGAAAATAAGCCTGCATAAGATAAGAATTGCCTTTGAAATGATTTCAACAGTACCAAGCGTAACATTATTTTGTTGGTACCTAGTAACAGAAAATCATAATTAGAAGCTTTATTTAACTAAGTAAACTGGAAAGAGCACAAAGAATACAGATTTTAGTTGAGTTTATGTATATAAGTCAATTCCTAGAGAAATTCTGATATATATATTTTAACTTATCAGATGAAACCCAATATGGACGCAGAGAGCAGAAGTCCTTTACTCACTTGCACACAGGAGAACGGTGATGCAGGCGTGCCGAGCCTGCTCAGCATGCCCGGCCCCCAGAGCATTGCCCACGCGAACACTGGCTGCCACACCAAAGCCAAGGGGCACCTGAGAACGAACAATCACAAATCACAAGAAGTCAGAGGGCCTGAAAATTAGACTATTTGCACTAGAGTCTAAGTGTAGGCAAACCCTAGACAGAGTCAGAAATCTGGATTCTAGAACTGCTTATACTACACCCTGGCTGTGTGACTGTAAACAAATTGCTCAGCCTTGCTGATACCCAATTTCTTCTTTGCTAAAGAAGTGTAACGGCTGCCCTGACTGCTACCTGTATCAAAGGTATCAGAGTAGAACCTCTTAATGACACCAGATTTGAGGGTGAAGCATCTCCTTTATTGGCTAAACACACACTATCAAGACTTAATTCAACCTAGCTACATTCTACAACATAAGGTTTAATGTATTACAAATAGAAATAACCTGTGAAAATTAAGTGAACCATATGAAAAAGACTTTGAATGAAGCCTGGCACACTGTAGGAATTCAATAAACATTGATGGAGTCTGACTCCACAACAATACATTATGTGCCCAGTATTCCATATGTCTAATTACCTAGTAAATGAAATAGGTCTCTTCAGATACCAAAGCTTTACTTTAATCATTGATTATAGAAATCTGAAGCTATAATCTTGCCTGTTTCTTAAATACACCATTATTCAACCTTCAGGGTCATCCTTTTGACCCCCTATTGTTATTCTGTAATATAGTGCTGCCCTCAAGGGCTGTTTGGGTTGTATGGAACACTGTGGTTTTAGCTCTTGTGTCTGCCTTTTTTTTTGAGGCCACCAATTCTCCTCTTTTTTGCTGAGGAAGATTGGCCCTGAGCTCACATCCGTGCCTATCTTCCTCTACCTTATACGTGGGACGCCTGCCACAGCATGGCTTGCCAAGCAGTGTCATGTCCGCACCCGGGATCCAAACCGGCGGACCCTGGGCTGCCAAAGCGGAACGTGTGCACTGAACCCCTGTGCCACTGGGTTGGCCCCTCGTGTCTGCTTTTAATAATTTATATGTCAGCTTTAACTTCTCTTCCTACTAGAAGCAGCATCCTCCCAAGAACCTTCTAATTTGTTATTGTTTTGAGAACGAGCCTAAGTTGAGTTGATAATAACTACATATTAAATTGCTAAGATTAAGAACTTGAAAAACAATGGATTTGACTATATAAAAATCTACGAGACTTGCGTGCCCAAAGTATACATAATTGGCTGCCAGTTCAAGATGAATGGCTAGCTCGTATGCTTAATTCCCTTCCCTCTCAAATACCATTAAAATACCAGTTAAAGATGCTTAACAGACAAGAAATACATTAACAACACTGAGAATAAGAGAGCAGACCAGCTTCTGGAAGAGGGAAAGCAGGTGCCACGATCCAGGGGTAGAACCACAGGAAGCCAAAGTCCAGCATACAAACAGGAGAAGGTGGGATTCTGCTGGTTCTTCCCAGTGGAGCCCCAGGAAGCTTGAGGCTTCAAGTCCATCAGGGCAGTGATGAGCAGTACTCACGCCGCTTCACTAGAGGGTTACAAACAGCACAGCCATTGCCTATCTAGACCTCAGACTCCCCACACACAGAGACTGCGCTAAAATGGAAAAGCCATGTGAGAGACCTCAGTGCGGTGTGAGACCTCAGAACCAACCTCTTCTTGTTTTGTCTTGGGGGATGGATGTACGGGACATGGGAGGTGGGGTGAGGCTGCCTGCTCCCTGCTCCTCATTCATAAACCCTAAAATGAAGATGTCATGTGATAGACACCACCTTAGTGCTCGGCTCCCCACTGCTTCTTCCCGTACACAGGAGACGTCTGTTGGAGAAAAATCCCCAAATAACAGGAGAGGAAAGCCAGGCCAGCTGTTTATTTTATAAATCAATATATTCACTCATTCATAAGTACAAACGGGCTGATAAGGATCACCAGATCTTTGAGGAAAACCAAAGGACATAACTATAAAAAAGATTAAGATAAATAAAGACAAACTGACCTCAGAGGAAACAAAGAGATGATTCCAGAAACAGAAGAGAATGTCTGAAGGTTCAATGTAATATCTTAAGATATTTAAAAGATAATGCAGCAGAAAACAAGCGCAGGTTCCTATGAAGAAGGAATTATAAGACAAAAAGAAAGAGTTCTTGGAAATTAAAAACAAAACTAAAAGAAAATTAATAGCAAAAAGATAGATTTTTAAAATGGAAGAAAAAGGTTAAAAACCACAAGATCAATCCAGGAGGTCAACTTCCACCTATTAGGAAATTTAAAAAGAGAGAATAGAAAAAATGTACAGAAAAGGGAGAAAGAATAATACTTTAAAAATTTCTCAGAGTTGAGAAAGACAAAGTCTTCAGACTGAAAGGGTATACCAAGTGCTAACAAGCAGGATAAGTAAAAAGGTACCCGCAGAGAGATACACCCTCAGAATGACACAGATAAAGACAGAAATGCTAAAACTGTCAAAGAGCAAACATCATGTTGTCACAAAGGAACAAGAACCAGATGAAGATCGGAGTTTACAATAGTAACTCCAAATGCCGTGAGAACATAGAATATCACCTTAAAAATTCTGAGAGAAAAACATTTTGAACCTAGAATTCTATACTCAGCAAAATTATTAAACAAGCATAGGGGAAAATAAAGACTCTTTCAAATGTGCGGGGCTCACAGTTTACCTTCAGGAAAAAGTTCTTTGACGAAATACTTCAAAAACATTTTAAAGGAATCTAAGAAAGCAGAAGAAATAGGATCAAAGAAACTGGAGACTTAATTCATGAGGATAATTTAAACATTTTTGGTATGACGGCTGTGCAGCACGTTAGAAAAAAGTCTCAAAACCAGTGGACACAAATTAAAACAAGGAATGGTCTAAAGACATCAATTAATAACAGAGACAGTCAGAAGGGAAAACAAGACCCAACTATACGTTGCCTATAAGAAACTTGCGTGTTATGTGCCATCAAGTCAGCCCCAACTCCTGGCGACTCTATGAATGAGTGAAGTCCAGTGTCCCGTCCGCAACGGCCCTCCTGACCTCCTGTAGACTCAGGCCTATGGCCTCCTTTATGGGGTCAATCCATCTCATAGTTGGTCTTCCTCTTTTCCTGCTCCTTCCACTTTTCCCAGCATTATTGTCTTTTCCAAAGAATCCTGCCTTCTCATGACATGCCCAAAGGAGGACAGCCTCAGTTTTATCATTCTTGCCTCTGGCAATAGTTCAGGCTTAATTTGCCTGAGGACTCCCTTGTCCATCTTCCTGGAAGTCCAGGGTATCCAAAGAGTTCTCTTCCAACACTATATTTATTTTATTTTATTTTATTGAGGTTACATTGGTTTATAACATAATGTAATATAATATAAATTTCAGATGTATATCATTATATTTTGACTTCTGTATAGACTGCATTTTGTTCACCACCAAAAGTCTAGTTTCCATCCATCACCATACATATGTGCCCCTTTCACCCCTTTCACCCTCCCCCCACCCTCTGGTAACCACCAATCAATTCTCCATATCTATGTGTGTGTTTGTTTGTTTATCTCCCACATATGAGTGAAGTCATATAGTAACTGCCTTTCTCTGTCGGACTTATTTTCTTTAGCATAATACCCTCAAGGTCCATCCATGCTGTTGCAAATGGCACAATTTCATCCCTTTTTTATGACTGAGTAGTATTCCAATATATATACACACCACATCTTCTTTATCTACTGATGGACACTTAGGTTGCTTCCAAGTCTTTGCTATTATGAATAATGCTGCAATGAACACAGAGATGCATAAATTTCTTTGAATTGTTGATTTCATGTTCTTTGGATAAATACCTAGTAGTGGGATAGCTGGATCATATGGTATTTCTAGTTTCCGTTTTTAAAGAAATCTCTGCACTGTTTACCACAGTGACTACACCAGTTTGCACCCCACTCACAGTTTATGGGGGTTTCCTTCTCTCCACATCCTCTCCAACACTTGTTATTTCTTGTCTTGTTAATTACAGCCATTTTGATGGGAGTGAGGTGATATCTCATTACAGTTTTGATTTGCATTTCCCTAATAATTAGTGAAGTTGAACATCTTTTCATGTACCTGTTGGCCATCTGTATATCTTCTTTGGAAAAATGTCTATTCGTATCCTATGCTCATTTTTGGATTATGTTGTTCATTTGTTGCTGTTGTTAAGTTGTATGAGTTCTTTATATATTTTGGATATTAACCACTTATTGGATATATGCTGTGCAAATATTTTCACCCAGTTGGTGGGTTGTCTTTCTGTTTTGTTGATGGTTTCCTTTGCCAGGCAGAAGCTTTTTAGTTTGATGTAGTCTCACTTATCTTTTCCTTTGTTTCCCTTGCCTGAGCAGACAGGATATTCAAAAAGATACTGCCAGGACTGACGTCAGAGAGTGTACTGCCTATGTTTTCTTCTAGGAGTTTTATGGCTTCAGGTCTTACATTCAAATATTTGACCCATTTTGAGTTAATTTTTTTGTATGGTGTAAGATAGTGGTCTAGTTTCATTCTTTTGCATGTGGATTTCCAATCTTCCCAACACCATTTATTGAAGAGACTTCCCTTTCTCATTGTATGTTCTTGGTTCGTTTGTCGAAAATTAGCTGTCCGTAGAAGTGTGGGTTAATTTCTGGCCTCTCAACTCTGTTCCATTGATCTGTGTGTCTGTTTTGATTACTATAGCTATGTATATTTTGAAATCAGGGAGTGTGATACCCCCAGCTTTGTTCTTTTTTCTCAGTATTGCTTTGGCTATTTGGGGTCGTTTGTTGTTCCATATAAATTTTAGGATTCTTTGTTCTACTTCCATGAAAAAATGCCATTGGGATTTGGACTGGGATTGCATTGAATGTGTAGATTACTTTAGGTAATATTGACATTTTAACTGTGTTTATTATTCTAACCCATGAGCACGGAATATATTTCCACTTCTTATATGTCTTCTGCAGTTACTTTCAATAATGTCTTATAGTTTTCAGTGTGTAGGTCTTTCACTTCCTTGATTAAATTTATTCCTAGGTATTTTATTTTTTTTGTTTCAGT